TAAAAAGTACAGCATAGTAAAAATACTCCTACAAATACATTTTCACCAAAATATTATTAAATATAACTAGTTGCGGTACAACTCTGATCTGGGTTTTCAATAATTTTAAGCAAAAGTTTTGTTAGAACAAAAAAGTAGAATAGATCAAAGTATCTCACATTACCAAATATCTATAATTATTCCGTCTTTTTCCAGCTTGTGCTTTTTTTGTCCTCATGCAGGACAGAGCCTGAGCAGGCGTTCCCATGATGCACCACTGAGGACTTCAGGATCATTCTTCCCAGGCATGTGCCTCTGTCACTCACCAGCCTGCAGCTGCACGTTGCTGTCCCTCTGTGTCCTCTGTGTTCCCAGCACACGGCTCCCGGCCCTCCCCTCGCTGCCCCTCTGCAGCCTGACAAAACTTTTTATACTTTCCTAATTTAATCTGCGGCTCAAAACAGGAAGTTTTGGAAGATCTGAGCAAAGACAGTTGGACGTCGTTTGCTTTTGCTCCATCATGGGCCTCATACGAAGCTGGGTAGTCGCCCTCCTGCTGGTGCTGCTGTCGCCGCTGCAGCTTCCACACTCTGGCTTAGCCCAGGATGTGGCTGAGGAGGAAGATGAGGTGGACACCAGACATGCGGCGGAAGCTGAGGATGAAGATGGGGAAGGTGCTGAGGAAGACGAAGAGGTAGGAGAGGCGGATGAAGAAGAAACTGACGAGGAGGAAGCTGGAGAAGAACAGGAGGATGATGAGGAAGAGGAGGAAGATGAGGAGGAAGGAGAGGAAAATGAGGAGGATGGAGAGGAAGAGGAGGATGAGGATGAAGAAGAGCAGGAGGAAGAGGCAGATGATGAAAGCGATGGAGAAGAGGAGGAAGAAGATGAGGCATCAGAGTCAGATGACAGAAGTGAAGAGGAAGAGGATGATGAAGAATACGATGAGGCTGCAGACGATGAAGTAGCTAATGATGAGGAAGAGGAGGACGATGAAGCTGCAGATGATGAAGTAGCTAATGATGAGGAGGAGGAAGGCGACGCTGAGGAAGAGGAAGCAGAGGATCATCCTGCTGAAGATGAAGAAGGTACGGCTGCTTTTCATCCCACAGATCATAAACATCTCCAGGACTCTAACTGTGAGCATAAACTGTGAGCATAAACTCTTAATCTGCAGTCATGTGAGCAGATTTTTAATCTGTGACGCTGCTCAAGTCCCTCCAGCTGCTTTCGAGCCGCCGTCACACATTTCAGTCCAGAAATAGAGCCGCTTATCAAGCTGCTCCCGTCTTTGTTCTGTTTGTTTCCGAGCCTCCAAAAGGCTCCAGTGAGTCTGAAATAAAACGTCTCACTTAGATTAAAACGTTTTTAATCTGCTTTCTGTTTGCCAAATTAAAAAAATGAATAATAAGCAGTCACTAAACATGCCTGCCTCTGATTATTAAACATAAACTGCTGGTTAAGATCCAAACTACTCAACATGTTTGTCAGTATTTTTTCCCTTTTATGTGACATTTAAACCAGATGTTTGTAATCCAGAAACACAAAATAAATCAAACCAAATTAGCCTCTGAACTGAGTTATTGGGAATAAAGTGGAATAACAGTAAACAGGTAATAAAAATGCTGAAATTCACACTTTTCTGGCTGAAAAAGCAGCAGGAAGAAGTGAACACTTATTTAATCCTACATCTCCTCAGTTTAATTATATGTGAAACTTACTGACTGAATAATTATCAGAAATCAGATGTTAATATTATGCCACCATTACGGAGAAAACCAGTTTCTCAGGTATAAATTTAACCCATTAATCAACAAAAACATCTGGATTAGAAGGTTTTGTTTGGTGTCTTCTTTATACTCTGATTTATTCTGAGGATTTATGAATTATTTCAAGTTGAATAAATTATTTTTCATATGCTTTTTGTTGGAAGACGTTGTTTTAAAACTATCCACCTTCATTTCTTCATCAGAAGTCCTTCCTGGAGTTACATAAAGTCTGGCAGAATTAAATGCTAAAACAATAAATACTTTGATTTTCCCATTTCCAAGTTTTACTGTTTCTGTTTTAGGGACGACATCCAGAACCGTTTCCTCCTCTAAGCATCATTTGTGTTGTGGCATCCATTGTTTTCAACTCTGACCAACTTTTATTGTTTCAGTTAAATGTTCACTGCAAAAACATAAAATCTTATCAAGTATTTTTGTCTAGTTTCTAGTGCAGATGCAGCTCTGGAAAAAAAGATCACTTGAAACAATCAGCTTCTCTGATTTTACTCTTTATGTTTGAGTAAAACGAACATTGTTCTTTTATTCTATGAACTACTGACAACATGTGTCTGAAATGTAGTATTTACTTGCAGAAAATGAGAAATGCAGGGATGCAACTCTGTCAAACCTCAAATAATGCAAAGAAAACAAATTCATAATCATTTAGAAACAACAACACTAATGTTTAAACTCAGTTCAGAAGTCAATATTCCTTGGACACAATTATTGTAACTTTTTAGTAAGATATAAATGTTTTTTTAAGTAAATAATGGTTCCATTGGCAGATTATTTAACTCATAATAAGACATTTTCCCCATGTTATAAGTTAATTTATCGACCAATAGAACATTAACTATTTCTTAAGGAATTATTTACTTTAAACAAGCTTCTATATATTCTGGAAAGTTACTTTTAAGTTAGTTTTGTTTTATTTCAAGTGTATTAAGACATTTGTGATAGAAACTAAACCAAATATACTTGATAAAACTTTGTGTTTTTGCAGTGTAAATGATTTTCATCATGCTTTTTCTTCAGGAGTGGAGTCTTGTGCAGTGAGTGAGCATAGAAGCCATCTTTGTTGAACAAATAACTTTTTAGTTTTGACAGAAAAAACTGCGCCTGCTTGTTTTACGTCTAACAACAACAATTATTCTAACATTTCTGAGTTATTTTGCAATTTATTTGTGGTCGGTTTATGGTGAAAATGTTATGGACCAAAACATATACAGGAGTTTGGGAGCAACATGGTGAGCTGAAGGGTTTTCATAATAACAGAAAATAAAACTTTCAGAACCAGGAACAATGAAAGAAATAAGCAGAGAACAACGGAAACCAGGGAGCTTCAACACAGAGGAGATTTAATCCATGACATGGAAACCAAGTGAGTCTAATTAGGGGAACGCTGAACAGCTGCGGGTTTGCTGAGTGGAGGTTACTGAAGGAAGGAGGCTAATGAGCACAGAGGGAGCTGAACCAGCACAGAAAGGGGAAAACGTCGAACCCAAGAGGAATAAACTACAGGCACACAACGGAAACCAGATAAAAGGCAAAAGGAAAGAACAGAGAAAAGAGTTTGAGCTGAAACTAAAACTGACACCAAATCAGCCAACATTATGCAACACGACTTTCCTTTCTAGCCTTTCTTTGACTTTGTGTTCATGTGTCGTAACTTGGACTAAATGTGTTTGTTTCTTTGCATTAACTACACTGTAAAACATTTGAGCCTCATTTAGTTGAGTTTACTGTCTTCTACTCTAAGTCAAATGAATAAACATTTTTTTCTTTATTCTGTTGGTTTTAGATGAAGAGGAAAACACAGCAGATGATGCCGATGAGACAAACGAAGAGGAGGAAACTTCAGACAAGCAGCAGTTCCACTCTGGATCGCTGTGCAGCATTTGCTCCATCTGTGAGGTATAAAAGAGCATTTTTTTTTTTTACTTTTTTTGTTTTTATAAACGTCTCAATCAACTTTTCTGATTTTTGCTGTTTCTGTTGAATCTTATAATCAGATTTTCTCTTGAAATTTTTCTTTCATTTTTGTATTTTTTTTTTAGTTTCTCTACCCCCCAAAATGTATAATGTTTTAAAACTTTTAGAAAAAATAAACAGAAATTATTTTAAAGTATTTTGTTGACGGTCTTAAATCTTATCCTAATTCTGTCCTAAGATTGAATAAAATAAATCAAAGAAAAAAGCAGAAAAACTCCTAAAAGTCAGAAGTTTGATGATACATAAAACTCAGATAAAAAAGTATCGGTATCGGGGATCCGGGTCCGATATTTACTTGGTACCGGCTGCGCAGCGTCGTCCATCTGTTTCTCACTCTGCACTGTAAAACTTTCTTCCAGCGTTGCTCTGAACTCTGTGATAAGTGTCCGTGTGCAGAAGGAGACGAGTCGGATCACTGTGAGCGCTGCGAAGTGAGAACCTTCAGAAAATCTGAGCAGAAAAGTGATTTTATTATTCTGCAGATTATTTCTGTTTGACGGCATTCTGCTGTGTTTCTGTCCAGGATTGCTCGTCCTGCTACATCTGCCCCATCCTGTGTGACACCGTTTGCACTCCAGGTGAATATCTCACTTTTGTTTTCTTTTTTTTTATCTGATGTAACGTTTTACTGTGTTTGATTTTGCTCAGGCGGTTTCGTCGATGAACTGACCGGATCCATCTTCCAGTGAGTTTTATTCCTCCTTGCTTCACATAGATGTCTGGACAGAAGAAAAGCTCCTGTGGCTTTAATAGATTTCTATTTCTGACGCCTTTTCAGGTCCGTTTCTTCTCTACTTTGAGCAAAATGCACAGAAGCTTCTTCCATGAAGATGACTGTGATAAAACGGTTGATTCAGGATTAAAACAAGGACTTGACATCCAGCAGGAGTTAGTCTGCAGTCATTGTTTATGTCCTAATTAAAGCTTTAATGTTATTAAGAGCTGGGAGGTCAGGCTGTGAGGTTTATTACATTTTTTTGTATGAATTTTATTATAAAAAAAATAAAAGCTACAGTCACTCATTTCATGTTGGGGCAAAAATATAAATAAAAGTTTTAAGTAACGTTTATTGCCACTTAAATACCAAGCAACTGTAGAAAAGTAACATCCACCTCTTCTTAAATCATGGATTATATGGAAATAAATTTTTCACTTTCAGAAATGCAAAAGGAAAACATTATAAAACACAGTCCACTTCTCATGACAGCATGATGTAAGAGAAAGAGCTGAAATTCTTGAATGGTTGAGAAATGAAGTCATGCAATGTCAGTTTAGAAAACATTTTAAAGACTTTTGGTCTGCAGTGGAGCCAGAGGCGGTCCCAGCCTGTGTGGCACCCTGGGCGAACCACCGCACTCTCCCCAATAAATTTAATATCAGCTTTTGTATATTCAAACACTGAATATATAAGAAATTAGACTGCTGTACTGACATAGTGTAAATGACAGTAGACTCAGAATGCACCCAATATTGGCAATTTACTAAATCGTAAAGTTTAGGGACTGAGGGAGAGGCATGGCGCTCGTCCCGCCTCCCACTGGTTGGAGCTGTTATGAGGAGGAAAAAGTGATGATCGCACCCAGAGTGCCCGACTCTAACCCTGCATCACAAAACAGCCAAAAGCATCTGAAACCCTGCAGGCCTCAACCCAGTTAGCATTAGTGTTGATAAACTTAAACAGGCTTTTTATGCTCTAGTGTGGCTAAATTAAAACCATTCTGCTGCCAAAAACAACCAATCAGAGTCAGGAGGAGGGTCTTAACGCTGTCAATCAACCTTGAGAACGCCCTGCTAAATGTGCTAATGGTTACAGTTACAGGAAACCCATTGACCCTCAGTTATCAGTGGTTATGCTAACTAGCCTTAGCATTCACAGTAGGATCTGCTGACTGGAAAAGCTGCAGTTACATGACATGACGCTATGAGTAGCAGGGCTCTGATTGGTTATTTCTTGCACTGGGAGCAAGCAGAGGAGCTTGATTTCTGTTTTTGTTTTTTTTTTTTGACAGATGATATTATCTGTTTTAGACCAAACTATCACGACATGCAGACATTTTTCCACAAATACGTGAGAAAAATCCTTTTTTTAAAATGAAAGTAGCATTCAGCAACTTTAAGGGAAACTAATCTTGTGGGACTCTTAAATTTATTTCATATATAAACCTTCACTAAAAAAGCAGAAGCTTGCAGCCCAAACAAAGCAGAGAGACGGCGCCAGGTTAGCTAACGTAGGTTCAGGAAACATCTGATCCACTTTCCAAGAAATGCTTCCTCTCCTCACTTCTTCCTCATTCAGCTGACTCAACAAATTTAGAAAAGCTCACATGCAAAGTAAACACAAACTCCATCATCTCCCAGCCCAGACTTATGCAGATGCTTTCAACATTCAGGTTTCCTCGTAACCTAGAAAGCAACCTGTGCATCGAAGAATCAGCTGCCTGCGGTTGAGGCAGCTGACAGGCTGAATGTCTGGTTTTCAGTTTTACCTTTAACTATTTTTATGAGACAAGTGGTATGGTATGTACTTGCAGTTTACTTGCATACCAGTTTGAGTTAAATGGAAATAGCAAAGTGCACCAGTGCAACCAGGACCTTTGAGGATGTTATTTTTTATAGTAATGGATTTTTAAAAATGTCTTGAATTGGTTTGATCCTCGGTCTTGGTCTGGGTTCGGCTCGATGATTTTGGCCTCCATCAGAGATGCACTTTTCCCACCATGCCGGTCATGTGATTCATGATCAAGTTAAAGTGACAGTTTAGCTCAGGAGCCTCTGGAAGCTTATTTTTGTGTAGAATCTGTTATTAATGTAACAGGACATTATCCTCAAGCTGCATTAAAATAAACATTTGCCTTAATAACACAAGAGTCAGATTAATGTAACGCACTTCCATCTCAGGACACAAAACATGCCGCTAAGCTTTCTGGGAAATAGTTCCCACTCCTGTCTTTTTACTCTTTCAGTTTTTTAAGTGCTAACCTAAAAACTAAATTAATAAAAAGTAAACAAAGCTTANTGCTGTAAGTTTANTTTTNTCAAACTCACACATTTAGGTTCAAAATTTAAAACTCACTAAATGTATTTGACTTAAAACAGTAGAAGTACATTTTGGGGTTAAGCAGGAAATCTTACAAAACGAAAAAACTAATGAGAGACGAGGCGCCTGTGTGCAGGTAATGGCAGGTTGTCACGTCTCATCACACGGTGTCTGTTTACTTTTTTAAAGTTTCCTGAGCAGAAATGCAGCCATCAGTGTTACTGTCTGGATGCCAAAGAGAAACCCAACAGATTCACTTTCCCATGTGGAGCGTTACAGCTGTTCTAATTTACTCACACACTCCAGCATCTCTGAATTATTTGGGGAGATTTTTGCATGCAGGGGTAATAAATCAAGGCGTCTGTCCTTCAGCTTCGCAGCAGACTGAAGAAAAATGTTTATACAACTCATTAATTGGAGTGGCAGGGGAAACACCTTTAACTGGAAGCACAATCAAAGCTTGGCTCTTGGAAGTCGTTGTGTGTCAATGACAAACATTCTTCATCGCTTGGCAGCTATTCGGTAAAATGAGTTCCTCTGTGACTCAGCAGAAACAAAGGAGGGGAAATAACTTTAGTATTAACATATGGAATGATATCAGAGTTTATGCTACATAATTAAAACATTGGGGGGAAAACAGCCTCCTTCCTTATTGATCTAAATTTCATAACTGTAAATCCTTGCTGTGTTTTTTCCTTTAAAACAATAAAAACTCATTTTCATTTTGGGTCATATCAAAAGTGTGAACATTCGTAAAAGGCCAGTTTATGTACCGATAGAAACGATTAAACTGTTAAAATATCAATAAACAGCTGTTGGTTTTAGTAAATGTTCCTTAAAATGAAATAATGTTGAACACATTTTCTGTTCCTCCAGGATTTTGTGACTGTTTTGTTTTTTTGTAATCAAAATGATAGATTTTGTGGAGCTAATTTAGAAATATTTGAAAGGAATTTTTTGCAATATTTGCACTAATATATGACGTTAAAAGTGACCCTTTTTTTAAATCTCTGCATCGATCATGATCACTGACTATAACTTGACATCAAGTATATCAGTAAAATCTGAAAAAAGTTTGTTTTTGCATGAATTTTACAGATTTGTGAAAAACTGGAGAGACTTATTGATGTAACTTAGAGTCTACAGGGCCCCAAAAATAGACATGTGCTTTAAAAGGACAAATAAAAAGAGGACTAATGATGTGCGGTGAAGCGTGAGTGAGAACACTGGGTGAAGGTCAAACAAACGGTTCATTAAGTGCAATGATGTTTGTACAAACACAGGAAAAATTACATTAAACAGAAGTGAGCGCTGTGACATGAGGTCCTGTTGCAAGACAGCGTCTGCTGTTACCTCACCTCTCAGTACATGTTCCTGTAAACGGCAAGGAAAGTGAATAAAATCTGCAGAGAACTGGTGTTAACAGTACATACATGATATTTCTGTTATATGTTAAAGTAGAAGGGAGTTCCTGAGCTTAATGCTAGAAATAAAACTGCCTGCAAGCAACTCTGAAGCTCAATTATTAACATCTAATGCCACGAGTTTAATAAATACAAAACACAAAGTGCGACAAAAGGACAGAGAGGCCGGGCGTTTCCAGAAGGTCAGACATGTGAGGCCCTGACAAAGGAAACGGTGAGTTTACATCGTTCTTCTTTTATAAATATAAAACATATAAAGTTCTCTTTAAAGAAATTTCTATCAGCGTTTCTAAACTGTGATTTTATGCACAAGCTGCACTTTTTCAGTCACTTCTATAATCTGCTGTACTATCAGTTTGCAAATTTACCTGCAAACTGTACTGAGACCAGATGTCAAGGTATTCTTCTATTTTGTCTTATTGTTCTTATGTAAAAACAATTTTTTCCACAGGCCAACAGGAAAGGAAGGATCAGACACCTGGTCGTCTGGTATGCAGACAGTTTAGTATACAATTGTACTTTCTCCTACTACTCTTCAATTTTGCATTGTTTGCTGTTAGTTTCAGTTCTCTAGTAATTCTGAACTGAAAAGTCGGTTTCTGAATGTGATGCTGGTCTTCAATTTTTCACATAATTTTCTTTGGACTCTGATTTTTCACCTATTTTCCCTCCAGTTCTCGTGTTTTTTAAAAATGACACTTTCAGCACATCAACAGAATCTTAGAGAGACAGAAACATCCAGCACAGTCCAGAAAGAAATACGATTCTTTTTCAAAATATCCAGTGAGATGAGGCATCAGCTAACACAATAACATCTTCTGTAGCATTACATTTAGTATTTTCATGAAGCTGCTTGCTGTAAATTAAACTTAATGAACTTGTGTGTGGAGAGAAAACCAGTTTATCTATTTTCTAAACTAAAACATTCAGGGACCAGAGAAGTAGCTAAACATTTTGTGAACATGGTCAGTCAGACACAACGGGAAAATTCACCGAAATCCAACGGAAAACTGAACATGAACAAACAGAAAAGATGGAGAGCTGCTGACAGAGACCACTTTGTAAGATTGCAAGAACATTTGGCCCAAATCTGAAATAATAACTTTAGTGCTGCGTGTGAAAACACTGAACCTGAATTAGTTATGTCACACTGATGGTATGCTGGTTCCTGAAGGAATTAGTCTGTCATTCTAATTATGTCAATCATCCGGGCAAAATGGAAAACTAAACACAAACAAACATGTTTATGAGCTCATCCTCTTACCGGCCTCTTCTGCAACTGCTTGTTACAGCAAATGAATTAGCAAAGGCTGCAGGATGACTTGACCAGAGGTCAAAGTGATCAAGATGAAAATAACCTAAGTGACAGTAAAGATTGTCAGTGTCAGACTGAGAGGTCTGAGGATTTCAGAAACTTTCTGTGAGTTTTCAGTTTAGAGGATGAAAGGAAGAAGATCTTTATCTTTATTCATCAGACCTGAGACAATCAGGTGGTCAGCTGATCTAATTCTTTGGGCCATAATGTTGCTGACCTTTGACCTGATCAGCTGCAGTAACCCCAGATCATAATGCTTGTACAGCAGGCTCTATGCATGACGGGTTCATCCCTTTATCTCCCTCTGCAGCCCTTTCATTCAGAATTATGATCCTTTATGTCAGGATTTTTTTCCAAATTTTTTTTGATTTTCATAAGGCATTAAAAAAAAGTGCGATTTTTTTTCTAGTACTTCTTTTCTAGGTGATCCGTTGTAATTTTCTCAAAATACAAAATTGTTATTTGGAAACTACATCAGTAGTTTTAGTCTTTAGCGGTTATTTGACATCACAATGTTTTGTTTACCTGCCAGAGTCCTTCACAGCAGAAGGACAGATGGGGTTGGTCTGCAGTTTTCATCTGTCCGCCATGTTGGATTTAGCAGAAATCTTCTTGCACTTGCAGCAGATGGCCAGTAGTTGATTATTGTTAGATGCACTAGTGTCCACTTGTGGTCTGTGTGCATTTAAAACATAAAAATCCACAAGAAATAGAAGGAAATGGCTTTCAGGTGTCTGTCCACTGCAGTGACGGCTGTGCATGAAGGGGTTAATGGACCCGTCGGGGTGAATCTGAACTCATCATCACATCTCCTTCTTCCATTCTCATCTTTATGCTTTCTTGCAAACTGAAGCCTCTTTCTCTGGTTATTGTCTCTGATTTGTGCATGTAGAAATAATTTCACTACTAAACAAAACTCTTAATTCTGCTGTCGTTTTTCTTCTACTTGATTTCACAAAACGTTTAAATGTTTGCTGATCACGATCATTATAGATTATTTTCTAACTACATTTCTTATTTGAATGCAATGGTTTCCTACTTTCCCTACAGTTTTTATTAACAATGAAAAGTTCTTAAACCAGTTTTAGTATTTTAAACAATTTCTTTTGATAATTTCAATAAACATCTTTTTCACGACAGCGGATTGTGTTTTTATGCAGCTGTTTAAGAATGAGAATCATTTGGAGTTAAATAACTTCTTGTCAGGTGAAAGATAAAGAAACTGTACATCAGTTAAGTTCTGGTTTATGTAAAAAGACGAATACATAATTGTTAATTTTTAATTTTGGATGCAGATCAGCGAAGAAGTAAAGAGAATCAGAGCTTCAGATTCCTTCAGAACACGCTATGTTGTTTTGACACAAAATGCAAATTAGGTTGATTGTTTTTTTTGTAATCAGGCCTATTTAGAAAACAGCAGTTTGTGTTTCCATCATGGCTCAGCGTTGTATACACAGCAGGGGGCCCCTCCCAGAGCGAGCCTATATATTCATCTCAACTCATTCTGGTGTAACGTTTCTCTTTTCTTGTTCATAAACTCTTTGTTGGATAGATGCTCATATTTGAGCTGAATCATTCATTTCATACAACATTTGAGAAGACTAACTGATTTGAAGCCATGCAAAGTAAGGTTAGTAAATATCTCACAGTCTAAAAATGCAGAAAAACCTACAGGACTTTAAGGTGTTTGGCTTATTTTGGGTGGAACCGATGGAGTTGCTTTAAACCACTGGCTGCATAATTATTAATGAAAACATTTCTTCTCCGTTTGAAGATGTGTCTCCTAAGGTTGGTGCTAGGTCTGACCTTGGTGGCTCTGGTGAAATGTGAGTATTTTTGCATGTTTCCACTTCCTTCTGGAGCTATGGGTAAATGTAGCATGAATTGGCAAAATATAAAGTTCTTTAATTGAAACAGATTTCAGTTTCAAAGTCAGATCCATTTCATTTAACATTTAAATACACAAACTCCATCATTCATGCTTCTCTTCCTCTGCTTTAGCCAATCTGTGGTGCTACTCTGGTTGTGGTAAGTAAACTATTATTTATGATATATTTTATGGTCAGAGTTGGACAGTAACTAGTTACTTCTTTGAAAAAAACTGTACTTTTTACTTTTATTTGAGTAATTTTACTATGAAATATCTCTACTCTTATTTGACTAAAATTTCAGGATTTTCAACCCTCCGAATGAAAAACAAACATGTTTTAACCAAAACTTCAGGCACAGACACACACCTGCAGTTTTTATTAAAGTGTCATAAGTTTTTTATTGATAGAATAAAAAACTTAGTGATTTGAAGAAATTTTCTTTTGCCTGATTTTGTTATTTTTTTGTTACTTATATGAATTAATGTCATTTTTATCTTTAAAATACCAACATTTCCATTTAACTTATGTTGAAGTACTCTGACTTGGGTATAATTCTATCTGTGATACATGCTGGTGTCCAGGATGCTCTCTCAGGACTAAAGGCTTCTGGATCTTTTATAGGTCACACTCCAGAGCATTGGGAAGCCTTAGATGAATCTCACTGTGGAGGACAAAAACAATCTCCAATTGATATCGTCACCAGCATCGTTACCATTGACCCAAATTTGGGTAATTTCAAGTTTGTTAATTTCTCCTCTCAATCCGCCATCAAGAATATCACAAATAATGGACATTCAGGTACAGAGCTGGACATTTTTAGCAGTATTCAAAACATGCTTAACTTGATTTTAACCACTTTCATTTTTCTCGATCTTGTCCTCAGTGCAATGTGACATTGAAGTGGACATGGTTGAAGTGAGTGGAGGTGGACTTGATGGTGAATATTCTGTACTGCAGTTTCATTTCCACTGGGATGTAGCAAACAATTCAGGTTCAGAGCATACTTTAGACGGCCATCGTTACCCAATGGAGGTAAGGTTTTTAAACATCCCCTCTAGTTTTCTAATGATTCGTCTGGTTGAGCATCCTTTGCTTACCAAAGCGTTTTTGTCCTTTTTTCTGTAGATGCACATAGTCACTGCAAAAAAAGGAATCCTCCCGAATGAGACTCTTAATCATAACGATGGACTTGCTGTTCTTGGGTTTTTTATTGACGTGAGTTATAAACTTTCTCCAGTTTATTCCTCTGACAAATTTTCATTATCTGACTTGAGAAACATGCTGAACAGGGTTTCTGCCTTTGTACCACACAGGAGCTTAAGCTGCATCCCAGTCTGAAGGTTAACTATGACATGACTTATATTTTGCTGTTGTAGTAGTTCCCCTTTTTCTGGAAAGGTTTTTTTTCACAAGGTGTAGTAGTTTGGAAGAATTTGTTACCATTCTTCCAAAGTGCACAGGTGTAAATTCAGTGATGTTGGAGCTTTAATTCCTCTCAAAGATCTGTTGGGTTGAGCTCAGAGCTCTGTTGGATGTCCAAGTTATTCCACTTGGAGGGCTTTAGCTGCTAGTTCCATTTTTTTTTCATTTTTACATTTTTTTCTGAAAGCGTTAGAGCAGAGATGGAAACACATTTGCCAAATAAGGCTATGTTCACACTGCAGACTTTAGTGACCCACTTCCGATTTTTTGTCAAATCTGATTTTTTTTTTGCATCGGTCGGTCACATTTCCAAATATAAGCGACCTTTATGTGATCTCCAGTGTGAATGGAAAACGACCTGAAAGTGTCCCGCATGCACAGTAGAGGGCGCAGTAAGGTCACACATTGAGCTCAGTGTTCTGCCAACCGCCATAAGGAAGAAGAGCTCACTGTGTTTGCAGAAGTAAACATGGATGCTAACGGTGGAGCGTAACTTGCGATTTCGAAGTTGTTGTCCAACCGGAGCAGCATATTAACAAGTTAATCCTCATCGTCGTCCGCCATGGTTGTTGTTTCTCTTCCCGCTTGCGTGTATCAGATCGTAGAATAGTGACGTTTGTCGAGTATCAGTGACTTTCAGATCGGTTGGATGCGACCTGGGGGTTTGTGACATTTGAGTCAGATACAGGTCCGATATTAAAGTGGTCTGGGCCGCATTCTTAATAAATCCGACCTGTGTTTTTGAGACTGCCATGAAAAGATCAGATACAGG